CTATTGTTGAATTCATCATTCACGGCACGCAAGCGTACTTTAGGGATCGATACAAGAAAATTCGTCCGTCCATGGCCGATAACAACATAGTGTTTGGCAACGTAGTGACAAAGTACATGGAAGATAAAATCAAAAAGGCACGGAGACATCGAGTTGTTGCTCAAGGCACACAAGTGCATCGGTATGAAATAATGTGTGTTGATAGGAGCAGGCGTGGTATCTATCGCAAGCAAGCCGTGCAGGAATGTGTCTTGAAGGCGGATGGTGGATGTACCTGCAGTTGTATGAAGCCGAAGCTTCATCACCTTCCTTGCTCACACGTTCTTGCTGCTGCCGGTGATTGTGGCATATCTCCCAATGTGTACGTCTCAAATTATTTCAGGAAAGAAGCAATCTTTCATACATGGAGTGAGGAGATATATGGGTTCGGGATCTCAGGATCTTACACAACGCTGAGTGCCCAAGTTTTTTATATTCCAGATCCATCTAAGTTAAGGGTGACAAAGGGTCGACGCCAAACTAGACGCATCAGAAATGATATGGATGAGTCAGAAGCAGGTGGGAGGACTTTACGCTGCAGCAAGTGTGATCTGCGCGGCCATACTTACAAGAAATGCCCGAAGAATGCAGAAGTTCCAAGCGGCGCAGATGCTAGTCCATCTGGACAGGCAAGTGATGGTAGGCGACCACCTGGTGAAGGAACAACAAGCAGGCGCGCAAGACCAAGGCGTCGTCGCGCAGCAGGCGATTCCATGGTGTAACAATGCTTTCGATTTAGGAAATAAAATGCTGTTGTGATGTAATGAGTGTTCGGACTAAATACTTCTATCGTGTAATTTCAATTCAATGTTGTTGTAATGAGTACCTCCGACTATTGTTGTACTAGTAGTATTGCGAATTATTCGGTGTTGTATCATAATGTTATCGTGATGAGTGTTCGGACTAAACACTTTTGTTTGTTTGTACTCTTGTTTAATATGTGTTAGTAATTCGCTTATGAACATTTATTACTTATGTTGAACTAATTATTTATATGTTTCTGATCAACCTATTTGATGCAGGTATGGCGTACGACACACCGGCGCTGTTGAATCGTGGGATTGACAGGAACCACCGCTCGTTCCTGTCAGCAGTCGAGGGTGCACAGCTCGGCACCTTCCGTCCACGCACATCGCGCGAGTGGTTGCGTGTCGACCCCCGTCACGTTCCTTGGTACGCGTATGTTCACATTTCAACTCAACTTTGCTTTCTGTTGTACTTATGTTTGAAGTTTGCTCTATACAGGTTGCGTGCGGCAGGCCTTCTACCACTTTGTAGGCTTGTTGAGGCGGCGGCGGACGACCGTGACCCAGCGAAGCGGTGGGATGCAGACCGGTCACTCCTTGCCGCTCTTATAGACCGCTGGAGACCTGAGACGCACACGTTCCACCTTCCCTGTGGGGAGATGGCTCCGACACTGCAGGACGTGTCGTACCTGCTCGGGCTACCGCTGGCGGGAGCAGCAGTTGGTCCCGTGGACGGTGTTTTTGGGTGGAAGGAGGATATCACTGCGCGCTTCGAGCAGGTGATGCGCCTTCCACACCTAGGACCGACCACCACCCTTCCTCCGTACTCTACAGTCGGGCCTAGCAAGGCTTGGTTGCTCCAGTTCACTGTAAGTAAATAAGTTGTTATTATCATACGTGCTTATTTGCGACCGAATGAGTGTTTTGTACTAACATTTCATTCTTAATTGTAGGCGGACCTTCTGCACCCTGACGCTGATGATTACTCGGTCCGACGCTCCCTTGAGGCGTACCTGTTGTGGTTGTTCGGGTGGGTGATGTTCACTAGCACCCACGGGCACGCTGTGGACTTCCGGCTGGTCCACTACGCACGGTCCATCGCGGATGCTCAGCCACAGGACGTGCCGCAGTGGAGCTGGGGTTCTGCCGTGCTAGCAGCCACGTACCGTGCCCTCTGTGAGGCGTGCACGAAGACTGACGCGGGAGCGATCATCGCTGGCTGCCCTATGTTGCTTCAGCTTTGGGCAGCCGAGAGGTTTGCCATAGGTCGACCAGTGGTGGACAGCGCACCCTACGGGGTTGGTCGCAGCGCGCAGTGGCCAGAGGACGGTCCCACGATGGGGACTTACTGGTGTCGACGTGGGGTTAGTGCAACTTCGCTGCGTTATAAGTTTATCAGTCGTCTTTTTTTTTCTTCACATAACATGTCTAATTCCGATCATGTTTATTGCAGCGTCGTTACGCTCACGTCCAGGTGAGACGTGGTTACCCGGACTTCGTGTTCGAGTTTGACCGTCTCCAGCCGAGCGACGTCATCTGGGAGCCGTACACAGAAGAGGCCGTCGCTGCGAGAGCACCGCTAGGACTTTCGTCCTTGTGCACACGCGACCAGGCTTACTGGCTCACCATCCTGCCGATGGTGTTCGACATTTTCGTTGAGCCTCACTGCCCGCAGCGTGTGATGAGACAGTTCGGACTTAGGCAGGTGTTTCCGGGCAACGTGCAGCCGACCGTCCTCCCTGCCGACCACTCGTGAGTTCGGATTGTTCATTTCTAAATTTTTATGATAATTACTTCATCGAGCCATATAATTTACCTCTCTTCACAGGTTGACTCGACGGGGACAGCTAGCAGGCGCACTTTGGGCTCCACGTGTACAGCAGTACGTTGACGACTGGGTGTTAGCTACAGAGGAGGTGATCAACGAGCTCTTCCCACACACGGAGGAGAACTACCGTGACTACCTTCGCTGGTACCTTCCTCGCACTCGTGCGCGTGTGACCTTCACTCCAGACGCCCCAGAGCCGCACGTTGCCGCTGTCACGGACGCGTATCCCACGCACCGTGACCGAGACTACTTCGTGGCGGTACGTCCAATTTGTATTACTTCTTACAATTATTTCATTTATCTTGCATAATATAGGACAACTACTGAATTTGTTATTTCCATCTTGCATAGGCTGATGCCGCACGGGATATCAGTGCCGATATCACCGCAGTCCAAGTGAGGTTGAACAGAGGTTTGCACTTGACTGACGTTGAGCAGAGGGTGACCTTCGACCGGATGCAGGAGAAGATGCGTGCGGTCATGCGCGTCTTCTCCTGTCGCAGCGCCGTGGACGTCGTACCTCCAGCTGGTCCGGTACAACCACGGCCTCGCGCGCCTACCGTCGGAGCAGGACCTCGACCTACGGCACCTATTTCGCACGGTACTGCTCAGCCCAGAGGTTTCTTAAGTTTTGTTTCTGTTTTTGTACGAAAACATCACCCCGTCGTAACTTGATGATCCATCCTCGCAGGACCTCGTTTGCCTTCGAGCGCCCCTAGCTTCGGATCAGTGCGACCTACAGCACCGGTTTCGCACGGTACAGTTCAGCCCAGATATTACTTCATTTTTGTTTCAGCTTTTGCACGATTATGTCACCATGTTTTAACTGCACGTTTCCTCATCGCAGGACCTCGTCTGCCTTCGAGCGCGTTCGTAAGCACGACCGGCGCTTCCACGAGCTCCGCAGGGGCGTTCGCCACCTCTTCGGGCGCGTTCGCCAGCTCTTCCTCTCACGGAGCGTCGATCCCTCGCCCACACGGTACTTTACTTTTTATTAATACTGTTAAATACCTGTACGAAACTGATGGTCCTTGTCCAGCAGGATTTGCAGCCGGGATCTTCGGTACTGGGGCCTCTTCGTCTCACGCCGGTAGGACTGGTCCTACTAGCCAGTTCTACGACGACGACTTGCACGGTGCAGACCACCACGACGTACTAGGCTCCTCTCAGCTTGGAGGAGCTCCAGAGGCGCACACTCAGGAGCAGCCAGAGGTCACACCTGTACAGGCAGGACGGGTTGGCCGTGCCGTACCCCCGGACCGACTCACGTACTCCCACGGGCACATTAGGGCGCAGGGTAGGAGGGACAGGGGTAAGAGGCCTCGTCAGTAGTGTTCTACCTCTTCAGTCCTTATGTGACCGTTTCTTTTGGCTTACAAACTTGTAAAGCAGTACTACTTTTGCTATTACTACTGCAGTACTACTTGTGTTTGTCTCGTCTACATAGTTCTTTTCATTCATATGGTGCTAGAACAACTTATGCTCACGACAACACACTTTCGGCGCTGCACGGTAGTGTCAGATCCAGTAGCACGCACAGTCCACAACAGCACACATGAAAAGCGGCAGCTCGAGTTATCACTATCAACTTTCGGCGCTGCCTGTTTACATAAAGTGAATCACGCCCACGCGTGATCGTCTTGTCACATCTAATGAATAATGTATCTCATTGAGTTCACATATATTGCAATGAAAACGACGCTATATAATTGACAATCTGAAGGCAACCTCTTAATATTTTCTTTCCCACTAGCACACAACACACGAAAATGGAAGCCTATTCATTGGTAATACGTAATCTAGATTTGAGATTATGTAGAACATTCTTCACTACAATTTTACATTTTGGCAGCAAACCAAATATGATCAAATGCAATTTTACCTTACCAAATATTTGGTCGTGAAGAAAAATTTGGCACTAACAATCCAAATATGCCCTAAAAATTAATAAAATATTTGTACGGTAACAAAATATTTGTACGGTAACAATCCAAATATGCCCTAAAAAATAATAAAATTGTATTTTACCAGTCTTGGAGATTTTAATCTTGTATAGTTTTCAATATAAAAAGATTTGATAACTATTGATATTTATACAAAAATATAGAGCACAGTATAAAATCGCCCTCGCGGTGGGCGGCAAGGGGGCCGCCTGCAAAATTCCATGCCCCCTCGCCGCCCATTTGCAGGCGGCCCCCCGCACAGTACAAAATCGCCCTCGCGGAGGGCGGCAAGGGGGCCGCCTGCAAAATTCCATGCCCCCCCTCGACGCCCATTTGCAGGCGGCCCCCCGCACAGTACAAAATCGCCCTCGCGGAGGGCGGCAAGGGGGCCGCCTGCAAATTTCGTTGACGGCCATCGCCCGAGAGCGAACGGCCGTCTGCCACGTCATTTTCGCCGCTCTCTGGGAGGGCGATTTGGTAGGCGACTACTTCCGTTAATTTTCAAAATGGAAAATTATTTTTGTAAAACTTTTAATAAAAAAAATTATAAATAAAAAAAATTCCACTTAGGGCTGGCACCATCTCTGGACGAGGCCAATATAAGGCCTCCAAGGGAACAGCCTTGGGCATGGTCAACCCTGACCCTTCAGTCATGTCAACCTCCTCGTCACCGACCCTTCTCCACTCGAAGCACTGCACAAGCGTGGCGAGCGCGAGGCCGACGACCTTCACGGCGAGGCCCTCCCCGGGGCACCGCCGCCGGCCCATCCCGAACGGGAGCATCCACTTCCCCTCGCTCCTCCCGCCTTCGAACCTCTCCGGCGAGAAACTCTCCGGATCCGGCCCCCAGAAGCGCGCGTCCCGGTGCATGGCGTGCACGTTCACCAGCAGCATGGTGCCCGCTGGGACGGCGTAGCGGCCGCCGCCGGCGACGGAGACGGAGCAGTCAGCGGAGGACTCGTGCGGTGCCAGCAGCGGGCCGACGGGGTAGAGGCGGAGGTTCTCCCTGATGATGCACTGGAGGTAGGGGAGGTTCGGCAGGTCGGCCTCCTCCACGACGCGGCCCGTGCCGACGAAGCGGTCGATCTCCGCCCTGGCCTTCGCCATTGCCGCCGGGTGGTTGAGCAGCAGCGCCATGCCCCACTCGATGGTGCTCGACGATGTGTCCGTTCCAGTCTGCAAGATGGACTGATGCAGCACAGGTCAATTGATTGCATCCGTGTGCAATTTACTCATTAAATTATGACTAGAACAGCATAATGTGCTTGTATGTGAATTGAATTACAGCCACCTCTAGAATCTAGCTGAATATACAATTTATAATTATGATTTCAATTGCGTTTCACAGCTTTTATGATGCTTGGTTTGTTCTGGAATGTAAACATCATGATATCAGTATGAGAATATGTCAACTTCAAATAGGAAGATTGTTATTGTTCGGAGCCAATTGTTGTACCAGTTTGACAGAAGTCCCACTGGCAGAATTAGTGCTTTGTTCTTAGCAACAATTTGAACATGAGACAACACGGTCAAAGAAATGGGTAAAATTTCGCCGAAACACCGTGGGATCTCCAAGTTGGGGAGGTTCCTAATGCTTCCTTCAGTTCGCAAAAAAAGAAAAGAAATGACAGAATAAAAGGAAATTATATCTTCCAAATGTAAAAATTCACGTACTTCTGCAGGGTATCCAAATTAACTCTTATTCAGTTCATCACCATAGTTTGATTTTGATGCAACGTCGCTCAAATATTCCAGAGCTCTTTCCTGCAAACCATCCCTAAGGTACTCAATTTTTTGGGTAATCTTTTAATGGATTCTTTTTCGTACATTGCAAAACTAAAAATTTCAAAATTAAAAGTGGCTCTGGTACACTTCAGCCAAACTTGCTTCGAAAAGGCGAAATATGTTAATATAATTTTGTGCAGCAGAAAAAAATATACTACAACACCACGCCCAAATTGCAATGTCCTTGGAGTGCTGCCCTGCATTTTTAAATCAAAAGGACGTTTGTCGACTACTCCGTCCGAAATAAGGCATGGTTTAGTTTCTAAAATTTTTTCCCAAAAACATCATATAAATCATTGGACACGTGTATGAAGCATTGAATACAAATTTAAAAAACTACTTGCACAGTTGGGGGCAAATCACGAGACGAATCTTTTTGAGCCTAATTAGTTCATAATTAGCCATGAGTGCTACAGTAACCCACATGTGCTAATGATGAATTAATTAGGCTCAAAAGATTCGTCTCGCGGTTTCCAGAAGTTATGAAATTAGTTTTTTCTGGTCAAACATCCGATATGACATTCAAAAATTTTCTTTTCGCGAACTAAACAAGCCGTAAGCTACTTACGAGGAAATGTGACCCCTTCTAGTACAGCGAATCTATACTAGTAGGGGTCACATCCCTTCTATGTTGACTCTTTTTAGGCCGAGAGAGTACCATATCTCGATCTCAAAGATACTAATCATTGATCACAAACACAAAGCTGGATTTGCTCCAATATATGATGCAGCTTAATTTGTGTGAGCAGCTAATTAATGGTCAAGGCCATCTGGAATATCACCATTTGCCCGGGGAAAAAAAACTGGTACCAATTGATACTGGAATTCTTCACCCACAAACTTTCATGTAAAGTTATCTGTATTGTAGCCAACAGTTTATTTCCTAGCATGTGCCTTCTTGTGTGTACTACCACCCTGTTCATGAGTAAAAGAAACAAAACAGAGTGAAGTACCCCTTCTCAGAGGCGTTTATTTCTCTAGTTTGGGGTAGTGCCTTTATATTTGCCTATGATGCCCCGTTTGTTTGGAGTAATTTATAGTTTTTTATGAGCAGGGTTATCATGTATGATTTATATATCCTTGCAATTAGTACGCCATTAGCAGTGTAATTATTTATTTTCAGACAGATTTCTCAGTTCCATCAGTGGCATTCGATTCACAGCCGTTGTGACCAAAAGAAATTAATCCAATTAATATCTAAAATTGAGAGATCTGTACACTCTACTCACCAGGCAGAGCGCTGTGATGACCTTATCGCTGTACGCCTCCGGCTCCGACGCCTGCATCTTAAGCAGGTCGCCGACCATCGTCCTCGCCTCCGTCGCGGCGGCTGCGGTGGCGGTGGCGCGGTGCTCGTCGATGAGCCTCTGAGCCCACGTGTTGCGCTCCCTGGACAGCTTCACTGCCCGCCGCTTGGCGCCGCCGATGTCCACGAGACCAAGCAACAGCACGAAGTCCTGCAGGTTTGACGCACCGTGCATCGCGAAGTACTCCCGCACCATCTCCCTGAACCTCGCCGCCTCCTCGGTCTCCGCCTCCGCGTCGCCCTCGCCGCCGTAGTACTGCTTCCCGGCGACCATCCGCGCCACGACGTTCAGCACGAGCTCGAACGCCCGCGCCTTCACGTCGGCGCGCGCTGGCTCGGAAGGCCCGGCCGCGGGGGCAGCCAGGTAAAGCCACCGCGCCATGTGCGGGACCTCGCCACCGCGGACGTCGGCGGAGCGCAGGAGGCGGTGCGCCGAGAATACCTCGACGGTGGCAATGCGGCGGAGGTTGCGCCAGTTGGGCCCGTAGCTGGAAGACCCCAGCGTGGTGTAGCCGTTGGAGAGGTGGCACGAAGAGGGGAGCCGGGGGCGGTTGGCGAAGGTGACGTCGTGGTCAGTCAGGCACTCCTCGGCGACCGCGGGGTCGGTGACGTGGAGCACGGCGCGGGAGCCGAAGTGGAGGAGGAGCACCGGGCCGTGCGTCGCCGCGAGGCCGGACAGAGCGCGGTGGAGCGGCTTCTTGAAGAGGTGGAGGTGGCCGCGATGACGGGGAGGGACGGCGGGCTCGGCGGGAGGCGGAGGCGGCGCTGCTGCTTCTTGCTCCTGAGGATCCGGAGGAGGGTGAGGAGGAAAAGAGCCGATGCCATCGAGAGGAATAGCAAGGAGGAGAGCGTTGTGTTCGCCATTGATGAGTCTTCCGAGCTTGTGGAAAGGAGGAGATGTAAAATCGGATCAGGTCGCTGTTCGCGACAAGCCCACAAGGCCACAATATGGGCAGCTGCTGTTTGACTAACACAGCAACAGTCTGACAGACGGAGACGGATGTACAACATGAATAGCAATTTAAAATTTTAGCGTATCGGTTTGGTGTGATAACTGGTGCGATCTCATCACATGGCTGTTTTTAATATACAAAATCGTGTGCTTCTCCTGTCTCCGTTCCTTTTCCTAATTTTCTCAGCCAATTTGCGCTTGGTCGGAAAGTGAATTCGTGACAGGATCACTGCTCCCATTCTACTTACTCCTTACTTACTAACTAGTAGTAATTTGCTCGTACTAATGCTACGTAATATTTATTATTACAAACCAGATAATTAAAAAAAATTTAATCAAATACTACCATGCGTGCCAGTAGTATATTTTATAAAACAGCAAGAAAATATTTACAGCAAAAATTACAAGAGGCTAAAGCCTTAAAAAAGAATTAAATGTTTTGTAACCAATTAAAAATTATTTATCTAAAAGTTTCATTCATCCTATACATATGGACATATGTAGAGAATTTCATTCCTGAAAGCACACCACCAATTATTGAAAGAAGGATAAATGTTCTGGAAGATCTTCCTATTACGTTGCTTACAAATGTGCCATTAGGCTATAAAGCAGATTTCTAAGAAACCCTTCATCTTAAATCTCAGTCTTGCCGAGACCAGCATCTGAAAGAATTCCAAAAAAAATATTCCGTGATATTCCAAGCTTATGACAGCATCTCCTACCAAGGGGCACTGAAAAAACAGATGAAAAAATATTTCCCTGTGTTGCAAAGAACAGAGCACACAAGTAAGATCAGCATTCAAATGAGCACAATTTTTTTTCTGTCTGGCATGTCCTTGTGTTTAGTCTATCACTGAAAAGCAACCAAATAAAGACTTTGATTTTCAGCACACATCTTATTTTCCAGATCCAACGAAAAGGCCTTGTGGGCTGCATAGATACAAAATTCAGCTTATAAAAGCTCTTTGAGGTGTAAGTATTCATGAAATGAACATTTTTTCAACCATCGCAATATACATAGCTAGCACAATATATAAAGTTATTATATTGTTAAGTATATACGAGAAACGTCCTTGGTCTTCCGACTAGCTTTATAAGATGGTGGACTAAACGACCTGAGTTTAAAATCTCACCCCTTCTAATTATTTAATATTAGGACATTCCCTAATATTCGTGTTAAGTAATACAAATACTTCTAGCTAATCCCAGATTTTTTTTCCTCCAGAAATGACCACCATAATTTCACAGGACCACCTATTGACCTGTTGCCTGCAATTTTTGTTGAGTAAATTTCTCAAAACTACACGTTTTATGGTCCAAGTTGTAGAAAACCACACACACTTTGATTACTTGGCACTTAATTACATATATTTTGGTAGTATAGTTTCACAAAACCACACTATCAATAAATGGATTTACCCGCGAGATTATGTGGCTCTTTCACATAGGACAAGGACATGACATCCTATTACCAGCCATCTCACGAAATTAATAGGATATACCACGTCATCATCCTAGATGGAGCAACCACGTCATCTCACGGGTGAATCCATTCTTCGATAGTGTGGTTCTGTGAAACTAAACTACCAAAATATATGTACTTAAGTGTCAAGTGTCAAAATGTGTGTGGTTTTCTGCAACTTAAACCATAAAACATGTAGTTTTGTGAAATTTACTCATTTTTGTTTCTTTCAGCCGAATGTTATGATCATTGGATTTGTATCCAACGGCAACAACGCACACTACAGCACGACACCGTGAAGCACAAAAAGAAGTTAACGGGCCCGCAATGACCAGAAAGGGAGCAATTCTTGGGTCAGCTTAATGGGCTTGTAATGGATTTGTGAATCTGTTCAGCGTTTTCTCCGAGGAATAAGCTCACCGGAAGTCCCTCAACTTAACAGCGAGAATTTTTTAGTCACTTAACCAAAAAAACAGAAATGTGTACACCTAAACTCACACAAACCGTGCACTCAAAGTCCCATGGTAGTATATATGGGTGGTTTCGCTGACATGGCATCCTAGTCAGAAAAAAAATTAAAAAAAATACGTTGGGCCTACATGTCAGCTGCACATTTTTTTCTCTCTTTTCTTCTCTCTTCTCTTCTTCAGTGAGGGAAGGCCGGTGGTGGTCAAAGCGGCGATGGGAGAGCACAGATGCGGGCAGCGAGCGGAGAGCTGACGGGCCTAGGAGGCTACTGGCAAGTGAGCATGGCAGCGGAGCAGCGGCGGGCTGCGGGCGGAGCGGATTGCAGGCGAGCGTGGCAGCGGGCAGAGCAACGGGGGGCGAGTGCGGCGGCGGCGGACCACATCTCCAAGGCCGGCGCCGGAAACGGAGCCACAGCAATATGGCAGAGGCAGCTGAGGCGCCGATGCGGCCCAGCGTCGGGGCCAGCAACACCAGCACGTATGCCATCATCATCGCCGTCAGCTTGGGAAGAAAAGAGGACAGGGTGCAAGCCGTTGATGGAGTAACCAACCATGTTGATCCCCCTCACCCAGAACGGCTTCCACGACTCCCTCTGCTTTATCCACTCCTCTAGCACCGCGCGCATCGCCGCGTCCTCGCGTTTGCCCGCTGATGCGGTGCCGGCGTCATCGCCGGGATAGCAGCATTGTTGGGAATAGTCCCACATTGAAAGTTTAGGGGGAGTGGCACCAACTTAAAAGGGGAGGGGTCCCTCACCTCATGAGCTAGCTTTTGGGGTGTAGAAAGGCTTTCTCCCGGTTGGGCCAACGTCTCCCGGTTTTGGGCCAACAAGTGGTATCAGAGCTGGGCCCACAATCTCTCTAAGTGCCGTGCACACTCAGGGTGGTGTAAGCCCGAAGCCCAGTGGACCGCGGGTGTGAGGCCCGTATGTGCCCGTGTGTGGGGCCAGTCAGTGGACGCGGGTGTGAGGCCCGTATGTGCCTGTGTGTGGGGCCGGTCAGGGCTAAGGGGCACCAATGTGTGACGGGGGAGATTGTTGGGAATAGTCCCACATTGAAAGTTTAGGGGGAGTGGCACCAACTTAAAAGGGGAGGGGTCCCTCACCTCATGAGCTAGCTTTTGGGGTGTAGAAAGGCTTTCTCCCGGTTGGGCCAACGTCTCCCGGTTTTGGGCCAACAAGCATGACAAGCTCCCACACCAGCGAGGCCAACGCCACATGGTCGAACGCAGCCGTGTTGATCCGGGCGAACAGCGCCGACCCCCCTCTCGCTGGTGGCGGTAGCTCGTAGAGCATGGCGGAGAGCACCGGTGGCTCATCGGGCTCGTGTTCAGATGCGGTTGCGGTTGCAGCGGCGATGGCCCATGGGTTGCGGTTGAAAGAGCATTTATGTCCCTAGTGGATTTTGGTTTATTGATCACAAATGATTAAGGGACTAATGCACTTATTAAGTGTATAAGCAAGTGATTAGTCCGATGAAGAAGCTAGGAAATAGACTTATCGATGGATGAGAATTAAAGAGAAGATATTGAAGATGCAGGTATGAAGTGACTACTTATGGCAAGACGGTGAAGCGCAAGCGACGACTCAGCTGCGATGGACCATGCGGTGGTGAAGGGCAAGCAAGGGGCTTGGCGCCGCCGAATCGAAACCGGTGGTGAAGGGCGAGTGAAGACTGTGTCATGATGAACCGTGCGAGGCCATTTGAAGCCATGAATTATTGTCACGTCCCAAAACGACCCTAAAATATATCCTTTAAATTATGCCTAGAATAATTAAAATCCGTGTGAAAGCCTCCAACAATTAAAATGTGCAGAGTTAAAAGCCAAATAAGGCTTAGAGGATTTTTGTAAATTTTCTAAAAGCCTAAAATGCGTAAATAAATTTTAGTGGAATTTTCAGAGCACAAATAATAATTATTAAGAAATAAACAAAGTTAAGATGATTTTATAAAAAGAAAAACCCTAAAAAGTCCCCCTTCCCTCCCTTGGGCCGAATTCAGCCCATCTCCCTCCCCCTCTCTCTCCTTTCCCCGCGGCCCACTCGGCCTCTCCGGGCGCGCGCGCCGTTGACGGGCGGGCCCGCCCGCCACCCTCACTGACGGGTGGGGCCCACCCGTCATCCCCTTCCTCCCGCCGCTCCGGCCGCCTCCCCCGCGCCCTAGCGCCGCCGCCGCCGCGAATCCCGCCGCCTCCCGCCGTCCCCGCATGCAATAAAGTAGGGGGAATCACTCCCCGTGATCCCCTCTCCCTTTCCCCCCATTTTTCCCTCTCTCTCTCGCGTTCAAACGGGCGGATTTGCCCCCGCAAATCTCGCCGGCGCCATTGATGGCGGCCGGACCTCCCGCGCTGGTTTCCTTCCCCTCCGGCCGCTCTCTCCCCCTTCCAACCCTATTTAAACCCTCCCCGTGGCTCCCTCGGCCGTTTCCGCCTCTCGCCGCCCTTCCTCCTCGCCGGATTCGAGCTCGCGACGTCGCTCTCTCTCTTCGCCGTCGCCGCCGAGCTCCGGTCCGCCGCCGTCGTTGCCCCGGACCGCCTCCCACCTCGGCGCCGCCTCCATCGGCTTCGTCGCATCCTCGCCGACCTCGTCCACCTCTCCGTTTCGGTCGCCGACCGCCGGAGCACCGTCGACCCCGTCGATCCGAGCCGCGCCGCCGCCTTCCTCCGCTCCGGCCGCCTTTTTCGTCGTCGCCGTCGACCTAGGGTGAGCCGTGGACCACCGCCTCTTTTCCCCCTTCCCTTCCCCTCTCTCGGCCGCCGCTCCGCCGCGCCTATGGCCGCCGCCGGCGACCATAGGGGCGCAGGCGCCGCCTCCCGCCGGCAGTGCCGAGTGGCCGCCTTCGGGCGCGCCGAGTGGCCGCCGCGTGGGGCCCGGCCATCAGCCGCCCGCGCCCTCGGGTGCGGCTGACGCGTGGGGCCCACGACGCTGGCTGGTGCGAGCCCGGGTGCGCCCGGTCCACCGTGGACCGTGAGGCTGCCGCGTGGGCCCCACTCCCGTGGACCCGGTCCGCGCGCCCCCTTCCCCTCGG